AATGTCCACAAGTTACTTAAAAATCCTGAAAACGCAACAAAGTTATCGAAGACAAGCGCAATTAGCGTAAACAACATGGCCAATTAATGATAGATTACGCAGGTAGGCAGAACAAACCAACTAACGTGGAATGAACGTTATTCAGCATAAAAAGATTTAGTTTAAGTGTAAGTTGCTTTAGCCCAACCGAGGTGAAGAAGCGTTATGAATGCAACATCAGCAGCAGCATGGGGCATACATACATGGTTAGAGGCATCCGATTTCGGATTTGACTGTCACTGTGGTCAGCCACAGAATGCCTGCACCTACAGACGGACCATGGGTAGCTTGCGCTGCACCATGCACAGCTCCATTCACACACCCATATCCAGTGTAAACCCGAAAGAATAAAACCGGGAGGCATGTGGATGGGAGCCATGATTCCTCAACGGAGCCGGCTCACACTGCTTCACAGGCAAACACAAGCACGCTGTGTTTGGGAACTAAGCGCACACAAGGCGGTGGTTGGACCGTAGTTCGCTCCACACTGAGTGCATGGAACCACTCTTCGAGCCTAGCATGACCACAAGGACAGTGCACCCCGTCCCTTCCAGCAACGAGCAGCTGTCTCCTGGAGCCAGTATGGACGAGGTAGTGCGTACTAGACAGGTAGGCATTTTGTCAACATGCACGCCAAGCACAGCAACATCGGGCATATCAAGCAACAGCCAACCAATTGAGACGACGATATCAAATAAACTAAATCGGATAATGTATACAGATACGATGACACAACGCTTCACTAAATGAGCCTATAAAATAAATTGGTTACGAACGCATCCGCGATAAGTTCAAGACGTAAAAAATATATTTTAAGAAAATGCCACAAACGTGAAAAAGTTATCGAGGTTAACTACAATTAGCTTCAGCGACGTGTGCAAGTTTATAGAAGATAGTTCAGGTAGACAGGAATATGAGAGAGAAAAGTATTAGAACAAAATTGCAAACCCACCACCTGAAACAAAGGGACTTAGCATGCAAGCACGCGCTTATTAAATCGAATGCAGCGCACCTACAAACGCTGCGCCGGTTCTGCCTACGTTCTCTGCAGGACCCGTCGTCGCTTCGGTGTTGGTCCCGAACGGCCACACTCATGGATCACTTGGCCTGGCTGACTCAAGCACTCGCGACCGCATGTACTACAGCACCAGGCGCTCGACGTCGATTGAGTACAACCCATCAACGCTCGTCGCTTCCGCAGTTGCCGCTTCTTCTCCGCATGCTTGAGGTCTTGCTCCCACACCTCGGCAACGACCTTCGTGATTAGATCGCGCCGTGCACGCCGATCAGCCGTCTTCGATTTCCATGACCTGCAATCAACATTGGAACGTGAGAGGCTCACTTTGTTCATGTCCTGGTAACGTAAGTTTGGTTTCCCCGCATGCCGCTTCCCAATACTCAGATGACAATATAATAGTTGTTTTGGTATCCTTATGGAATCCATACGTCTCACAGGACTGAGCCATCCCAGGTGTTGTAGCAAAAGTATGCAGTCCACTGCATACATTCCACTTCGGCGCAACACTTCCGTGTCCAGTAACAGGCATAACTACTAACATACATGCTAAATCTAAATACTAACGTGAGCTTTCTCCAATCCTATTCCAGAAGGTTTTCCGTGAAACCCAAATTTGTACCTGCTAATATGTGCCTAGGTCAGAACAGTTTCTCGCAGTTTCTCGAAAAATAAGAAATGTATTTACGTACCTATGTGTTGTACTTCTCGGGCACGAACACGGTCCTGGTGTTGAAATGCAAGGGATTCATTCGTGATGATCCGCATCGGTAAATTGGTAATATCATTGACGGTAAAGACAAACAGATGGTAAACCAGTACATAGCAACAAAAGTGTAGAGGAGGAATAGAAATTAGGAAACAGAAAATCACTAAAAGGAAAGGACGAGGTCGAAGGCTATAAGATCGCCATCAGTTTCGTGGCATCAACAACTAAAACCAACTAATATGAGTCTGTTATCAAGCTGTAGTGAACAGTATAAATGTGAAAAGGTGCTGAGTCTAAAAAGTTGACGACAGCAAAGTATTCTCGTGTGAAGAGACTTCGGAAACCGCAACTACGATTGTGGTCACAAGGGTCACTTTTTATGGTGCTAGCAAGCATAGCTGGAATAAAGTGGTATTGAGATCATGGCGGGTTGCACTACAGTAGCTAGGAAAAAAACCGATGCAACCTATTAAATATTCTCTGATGCGGTAATATCAAAAGGGCCTAAGAAAATGGGGCGTTGCCCCTCCCAAACGCACGGCACTCCACGACACGTTTCGACCTCATTTAAACACAGCAGGTGGATATGGCAGGCTTCGAACCCAGAATTGCTCCCTTCACCTGAGGAGAGCAAATGAGGTCGAAACGCGGTATGCAGAGTTTCCGAGCAGGCAACGTCCAATTTCGAGATGCTTCCACTACGGTCCCAGTGATCGCATTGACCATTGTTGATTATAATATGCAACGCGGTCTACATTGAAATTGTACGTCACAGTCCGTCCACACAGCGTGCATTTCAAAAGGATCATCTAACCAAAAGGTTTTCTATTCATACATTTTACACCAGAATATCGGGTAAAGCTGCCTGACGTCAAACTATTGGGTAGTAAATAACTATTAACAGTGTAGTAAATTATCAACATATAGAACAATTGCCCTTTTGGGCTAATAGAAAGGTTTCATTTAAACAGAAAATTGTACTCTTTTACTAAACACTTCGTGAGTGCCTGGGACGGTGCTATGTGTCAGTTTACACAGAAGTTTTAAACATACAGAGTGCCGAGTAAACAACTTCTGGATAAAGCAGAAGCAAATTAGGCGTTACGCGCCTGAAAACACTGCACTCCATGACGCGTTTCGGGATTATTTTCTCTTCTCCGACAGAGCTAGCAGGCGTCGAACGCTGGATCATTGTGATGTTAGTTGATGAGAGGAAATAATCTCGAAACGCACTTGGTGATTTGGAAATGATGGACCTCAGTTACGAGCATGGCGATGGAACTAGCATAGTTCCACACAGGTACTGAAAATTGAAATCAAATTTAGGAGTTACTTGCCGAAATATAAGAAATAATCAGTGACGCTATAATTGATTTGGTCGTCTAGCTAAATGAGCAAACCATTTTTACGTAGGATGAGTCACTGGCGGGGAATGCGTGAGTTTATGAGGCAATCTAGACTGAATTCTTTATAAAGCAGTACATTGTCAAGTAACAACAAACAACTGGCAAAGTTCCCATTATTATTTTGTAACCTAAACTTGGTAAAAGCGCTTCAATAACCTAACTAGCGTTATACATCTAAATGGATAGATTACCTTTGGACACTTAAACACAAGGTAAGACAAAGCACATTAGCATCCGAAGTACATAACACAAAAGTTCCACCGCAGTGACCTGACTTATAGGTTCGGCTTCTCTTAACTGATACTAATCAAAAATTGTAGAGACCAACGTAATTTTAAGCTACGTGTCATTAACATAGCCAAGAAAATTCAAAGAATGGTATCACTTTAATCATGTTTAATTTCTCATTCAACTTAGCGCGTTTTTGAGCAAGATATAATTTACAACCAATGAGTTCCATTGTATATTATACCAGTTAATTTTGCACCTGCAAAATCTTTTGTAGGGCTTGGGAGGAAAATATTTGTACAGTAGTATGGCTGCAGCGCTCCGTTCGGCAAACAAACTTTGCCTTATATCCGCAGCATAATTACGCACCGCAATCCATTATCACACAGTATTTCAAACGGACCTGCAATTATTCGTTAACCATTATGACAAGCCTCGTTAACCTCTACTAGATAGTATAGAAGTAAACATTTTGACTGACACCTCAAAGATCCCGGATTCTAGTTGCAGTCCAGCTAGCCCTATCTGACCGGTGAAAATAATTAAGAAATTGGTCACACAATTCTGTTTTGTGGGCAGAAAACATCCAACATTCATCTAAGAGGAACGATTACCTAAAAATTGATAAGCAACAGGCTACAACATTAGCGCGATGGATAAACATTCAAACTAGTAAACTATAAAACTTAACTTTAGTAAAAGAAGGGTTTCAAGGTAGAAAGCAAAAATCTATTAGCAAATGGTGGTTTGATAAAGCAGGCTGAGTGATTGACTAGCGTCATGCGTTGTTTGCCTTCAGTGAAGTGAGGGAATAGTAATTAGGTTTGCAGTAAAACCCGAACATAACTGGAACCTCCGTTTATTAAAAGTAGTGCATGACTTAACAAATATATACGTTCCACTGCTGCGTCTAGTTTAACCGGTGAAAGCTAGACTGGCGCAATAATTTCTTTCACGTATATAGTCAGAAACAGCGTTATTCAGTTTCTGATACCTGGATTGCAAGCCGCGCATGTTTTTCCGTAAAATAGGCACATTTCTTGGTAAGAAGTTGAGTGCATAAGATCCATCATACTTTACATATTTTCCTCGGTTATTTGCGTCCTTCGGAAGCATCATCTCTTTGTTAGCCTTAGAAGCAATGAACCTGAGAGCTAGAACTGCACAAGACTGCAAAATACCATTTTAAACCTTATTATAATAAAGTCACTCATATCAGAAAGACAAATCAGATGTTGATTAACCATAAGCGAAACAGAGTAAAGTCAAGTAGGTAAAGTTGTAAATAATTTACGCGTTATTTCAGCTAAGACGCAAGCCTTTCGGGACAAGTTGATGGGTTAGTCCAGTCTAAGCCGTCTAAAATCACCAGCACCACACAAACTAACGCTTGTCAAAACTCACTGCATTAGTTGCTACAATAGAAATAACAAAAGCGGGAACAATAATAAAAGTGTTCTGAATTTTGGTTAATGCACCACATATCTTTAGTAAAATCAATCAACAGAATTTTAACAGCAAATCTGAAATTGCATTTAATAGTTGGACAGATGGCCTCAGAAGTTTAGGAGATAAGCCAAGACAATAACTTAAGAACACTTACGTAGTTGTCATCCAGTATACTGGCGTTATCCAACGTAGTTAATGTAACAGGTGTAGTAAGTTCGTCGCGGTTTCCAGAAACGAGCTGTTCATTGCCGCATAGTTCAGCTGAATGATTCACATTGACAAATGGCCTGCCACGCAAAAGCTTTCCGCTCAAGTCATAAAAGCCGTTGTCTGCTGTTGCATCACCATCACCAATAATAATGAGCTGATCAGATGAACCGTACAATGACTTATAAGGGCCGCCTTGACTTTCAAGCTGTTTGATACCTGCTCTATTTGATGGAGACATGATACTCGATTCACAGTGAGTGAAGTTGCCACTGTCCTCCCATTTTCGCTTTTTAGTTGTATTATCTATCGCGATTATTTTTTGGGACAAAAATTCGTTGCTCAGCGGAAGGTCCGATAGCATATCAGAAGGCACCAGGTAGATACCACATGGTACGATGCGATTGTAAGGTTAACTGTTAGGTACTCCACTTTGATCAGGTTGCCGAAGGTATGTAGTAGCAAGCAATTTTAAAATTGGTACTTTTTTGGTATTACATAAATGCGTTATTGGAATTGCCTCATAGATGAGATGCAAAGCTGACGATAATGTAATCACATTCTGTCAATTGTAAAAGGCGGCTGTCCCTTTACGCAAGGTTGAGCATTCTAGAACAGTTAAACAAAGCGGGTCGAGATTTAAATACGCATATATGCAACACATTTGTGTTTAAATAACGTACTGCAAGCTTGGCCGTTAGCCTGTAGTATGCAGCAGCCGCGTACACGCAGAGGGAAGGTCCGATGTTATCCACTTCTCGTCTTGTTCCTCTAAGTATTGCAGGCTTTGTTGCTGCTGTGTTGAACAGAATTGCGGGTGAGCTTACTACGTATCGGTAGGGTCTTGGCGTACGCTGTTGCTAGTAGTCTAACAAAAGATGGAAGCTCTCCTTTGGCAGTGCTTTGCTTATCGTGTCCGGTAGTCGGTTCCCACAAACTACTATCTGTGTCGAAACTGCAATGCTGGTGGGAAACTTTTGCTTTTCCTTAAAGCAGCCTCCGGTTGTGTTCCCGGGACGAACTATCGAAACATAACTGGAAAATATTACGGCTACCTTCCACATTCTCGTCACAGCATGCGCCTAGTATAGCTGAGGTGCCTGTACTTGGTTCGGCGATGAGGATGGTGGAAGTGGAAAGACGGACGGATGCTACAACAGCCAAACGCCACGCTTTAGTACACAACAAGGGCGACGACAGGCACAATATCCATGAAAGACGGGCACACGCTGTCACGATATACAGCCACTATCGGAGCATGCCAACCAGGAACGACGCGTAGCGAAACACGATAGGATTCATTGAAAGTGAAACATAGTACAAGGGAAAAAGGGGAGCTAGTGCGTAACCGTTATAAACAAATGGCCCGTTCGCAACAACTTGGTGAATCAGGGCGTTATTACTTGATTTCCGAGATGGTTCCGTTAACCTCATCTGTAAATAGAAGGAAAGAAGGAAACCAATAGTGATCTATTCAAACATTCATCGGGGTTTCCATTTCGTTACGCCACCCTTATCTGTGATAGGCACTGTCCTCATTGCCTCGATATTTAGATATATGAGCACCACGCCTTTTAGGCGGCGTCTCAACGGTTTCTACAACATCTGGGATACATCCTGGGGCATAACCTCTTGGTAAACCTCCCTTGAGATCTATGTTACAGGCTACCGTTGATTGAAATGTACAGTCGCGCCATCAGCATTTGGTTTCTTGAAGCTGCGTGACACGCATACACAGCTGAACGGATGAATGCGATCTCAAGCGGCCATTGCCAGCATCGATGAAATTTGCTGCACATGCCTGGAGGCGGCTTTTGTGGAAGCAACCGCCTCCGACCATCATAGTAGAACTCAGGACCTCTGCTCCGTCTGTCATAGCACAACTTGCCAAATCGCTGTGCTCTTTGTGTATGTTCTGTCACACTCACGCGCGGCAATCGAAGTAGCTCACGTAGATCGCATAAAGATAGTCCAAAAGACGCAAATTTCCGCCGGGGGAATCGGTGGCGACAAGTCTCTCTATATATATTCAACACGTTGCCAGCTACAATACGATTGGCTGCGTACCACAACACATAAGAGGAAAAACACATTGACAGGGAAAACAACTGGTAAGGTAGATGAGTCACAGCAAGTGCACCATTGCCTGCGGTCTTTGGCCATATCCCCTAGTGTTTGTAACCAGATGTGCTCGGGTCCTTTGGTCCCCAAGCTGGGGTCAGCAAAGCCCTACGACAGCCAGGTTCAACGTTTACACCTTAACAGGTTGGCTCCAAGTTTTACATTACCCTCCTTTCGCCACTTCCACCCCACGTGTGTGCTCGCAAATAGGGCTTGTCGTGGCAGCCGCTGGGTAGGCATGCGGAGCACAGGCCAGCGAAACCGCCGTAGCGAAATGATACTGTCAGTTGGTCGGCGGATTCCATTCGATCTGAATGCTTGCCGACCGACAGCCTCAGTACTAATGTGATGCAGCCATCGAACACCAGCAACGCTTCACAGGCAGCGGTGACCGAAGACAGACAATCGCTGAACATCGCTTTCGCGAACGGGCCAAGTATCACAGCCATACAGCAGCATCTCACATACCATAGCATTGTAGGCTTGTTCATTGAGAGCTCCGACAAGGTCCCGACGGGGCCACGGGTGACGAATGTTAACGAAAGAGACTCTAGCCTTGGGGGCAAGCAGGGGAATCTCACTTATCAAACCCCTAATACTTAGAAAACTCCCGAGAAACGAATTTGTCGACAACTTCCAGCGGATACACCGAAATGTCGAGAGAATGACATGCACTTAGTCAGTCCTGTAACAGGACCTTATATTTGGAAGGGGCAATACTCAACCCAAATTGGGAGGCGGACCACTGTAGTCTAAGCAACACATGCTGAGTAGCAGTGGAGGACTCGCACATCACAGCGACATCATCGGCGTGCTCTAATTCCCGACGGCCGTCACCAGGGAGCAGTTCGGCACCGCACGACTCAGAGTTATCCAGGATAGTATCCAGAACCTCATCCATGGCAAAGTTGAACAAGAATGGAGAGGCTGGGCAACCAGGTCTAACACCGCTAGTGATACTGAGAGGGGCCCGAAGTTTGATGGTAAATGACACGGAAATTGCTGAAGTACTTCTCAGGTTCTCCCCACTTCAGTAAGCAGTCCCAAAGAGCCCCTCTATCTACAGAGTCAAACTCGGCAGGTGTCCAAATTTATGACTATATTTGGTCGACTGAACATATGGCGATGTTGAGGTATCTGGCAGGTCATAAAGCTGTGATAAACGCAAGTGCGACCCGGACGAACTCCAGCTAGCTGTTCAAGCAGGTGATGTTTCCGTACTTAAGTAAACCTCCACTAGCGTAGTGCAGCGAGCAGTTTGGATGACGCAAATGAGGCTGGTGCCACGATGGTTGGAGTAAATGGTCCGGTCTCTCTGCAAACGTACATCCGCTAAATTCCAGTCGGTTGGAATGGTTTCCGTAGTCCAACTAGGATGGAAGGGAGAAGTTAGTTCGTGAGTGATCGCCGGACACCCATATTTGAAGAGGGTAGGAGGAACTTCAGCTGGGCCAGGTGACTTGCGACACTTCAGCAGGCAAACCTTATAGGAAACCACAGCCTCAGTCGGTGAAACCTCCACGCACCTGGGAGCACTGTGAGCACCGTCAGGTGGCCTCGGTTATGCTGGTGGACAGTTGAACGGATCTTTAATCCCAGTGGGGGTCGGAGCTCCTGATCATGTACTAGGGAGGCCGGAGAGTAGTCAATAGTCGCGTGTACCAATGGCGCGATAAACCACCATACTTTGCGGCGTAACCTCATCCCACCCATCTGTAGTGTTCCCTTTATGGCCCGTCTTGCGCTCTACGAACCCATTACCTTGAGGATGGTAGGTCACAGTTCGCCTCTTCCCGGCTGAGCGTAGGCAATGCTTCCTGTATAAGGTAACTTTCAAAAGTGCCCCCTTAGTCTGAATGAAGCGATATCGGTGTGCCTTAACCAGCCGCCCACTCCTAAATGAAGGCGGAAGCGAACGTTAGCGCATCCGGGTGCTTCCTGGGCACGGCCACACAGCAGTTCGTAAACAAGCGTAACCACATTGTGGCCATCTAAATTTCGTGTGATCGGAAGAGGACCTAAAAGGTTCGCTCTCAATTCTTGGCAACGGGTTGTAGGGATAATCGTCGTCATTAGGCACGAGGTGCCGGTGTTTATGAATTGCTAGTAGTACACTGCTCGCAGGCACGGCGAAGTTTCACGGCATCGCTGGAGCATCCTGGCCACCATTACCGGCGCACTGCAGCCTCTGTTTACGGTTGGCCTGCATTATCTAATTCAACCTGCACGCCCTGCAGTGTCCCGGACACTTTCGTTGCCGGTGTGCTCAGTTTCGAACCTGATTTATCCATTGGGTATAAAATCCTGTCGATGGCCTCTAGGCTGCTCGGATGGTTCTGTAAGGCCCTCTCATCTAATGAACCGGCTCGAATTTCTATACCGGAAGTTTACAATGTCCTTCGACCTGAGGCTTGTAAACATTTGATATGTAGTTGTTTTCAGGTTTTGCCTGTGCCCACATCGTATACGCTTCGGTCCCGTGCAAAATGGAAGTTATGTCTTCAGATGTCGTTAATCCTGCCATCGCATCGGTGTTGGAAGGCCGAAAGCCAGGCCGTTAGCAGCAAGTAAAGTGATACTTTTGCTGCCCACGTGCTACTTGACCCATGAAGTTCCGAACGCTGCATAGCCACTGCTGAGTTTATAGCTCCGTCCGACCAAGGACGCTGTGCCAAAGGAGTAGGGTCGAAAAGGCTTTAAAATTTTAGCTTGTGCTAGTAGCATGCGTCTTGTGCTTTGTGCAATCGTCGATTCGTGTTTGCATTTACCGTCTCACCGGAGAAGACCATTTGTGACAACACAACACCAACTGCCTCAACTCTTACGTCTAAGTTAACTATGGATGGTTTAGCGTGTTCCGACGTATTCAGTAATTCTAAACGTTGTGGCGATGATAAACACACTTTTAACGTCTTGTAGGAAGGCTCGCACACGTCGGTCCAGAAAAGTGCCGCCCTTGGTCAGCTAAACTGTGAAGAGGCGCGGAAACGGTAGAGAACGGTTTAATAAACAGCGTTGATATGAGGCAAGTCCAAGAAACCTTCGCAAATTATCCACCTTCTGTAGCTTCTGACACGATTTATCCTTACATTTTTCTCATGGTCTGCTTATAGCTATCTGAAGTGACAATGTGCTCACGAACTTCACCTGGCTTTGAAGAAAACGACACTTACAGCCACTTAGTTTGAGTAGTCCACCGTAATATCTGTTTTTGCCCAGCGGCAACCGATCGTTGTGCTCGTTGATCGCTCCGCCAAATGTAAGTAAAACAACTGAGTACCTGAAACACTCGTACACCCGTACTCCTAGCGGGAGCTTAAGTTTTGGTTAGGTCGAGGGAAGAATCGTTTTCGACGAAACCAAGTTACTCGCGTCATTAAAAAGTTGCAGGTGATAAGGACCCTCGTTAGCCGGCAGGGTTTTACCCGGATGACGAGTTTGAGGAATGGTATAAAATTGTCCGTTTAA